GGTGAGAGGTTACTTTCGGCCAAATTTTAGCTGACGTCATTTTGTGAACGGTCCCTGAGCTCGAAAAAATGTGAATACTAAATGGTTACTTCAAATGCACAGAAAATTGAACAAATGGGCAAGATTGCTAGTCAAGAATGTGAACAGGAAAGGGTTGAGAAAAACTAGAAGCAGTCACACAAACGATCTTCAAAAATACCAACACCTTAGTTGTTTTTACTTAAAAGGTACATTAATATCAACGTTGTGACGTGTTGTTTTTTTCCACAGACCATAGACAGAGAAATTGGGCGCTCTTTCTTTCAACTTGCCTTTGGCTTGTCCTGCGATTTGTTTTTTAAAAACATGCAGATTAGGAAGAACATTACTGCAACAGCAATGAAGGTCCCTGAAAGTAAAACAAAAAAGATAAGTGTTACGGTTTCAATTAGGGAAATTTTCAACTCAACAGATACTGGGTAACCTCTAAACACTTATTTATTTTAAGGCATACTGAAGGTTCAAATGCATCATTATTCAAAATAAAATTTTCACACATCAGAATACATACTAAATATGATTTAAAAAGAAGACTGTTTAATAGCGATCTTTTTTCGTTTCGGTAAGTGTTTAACGGTGCTCACAACTGTATTCGGTTATATGAGCGCACAAGGACACATTAGACATTATAAGTTTGGTAGGAATTAATTATGAATTTTGCTCGGGTGGCGGCAGAAGCCTACTCGTATAGTATTTTTGACTACCACGGGATCTTTAATGTGTACAACTTGCACACGCGACCTCCGAGATTTTTCGTCCTTGACCGAGAAGGCTAGGTGCTAGATCTTACATACTCTAGGATCAGCGAGTGTGGATGACGATCTTTTAACCCTTCACATACTTCGATATTTTGCAGGCATGGAATACTCCGGCAGAAATTTTCTATTTGAATAGAATGTACGTAAAGTTCAGCTGAAGCAATAATGTAATTGGTTGCTACTCGTTTTTTTTCCTGCGCAAGGCAGATCTAGATGAGTCAAGACTGGAAACAATTTGTCTCACTAGTCAAGATGGCAATCGGTGCTATCCTGTTATACTGCCAGCCCCGCTGTACCGCCAATTTGATGCTCGCCCAAAGGTAAACAGTAAAACGAAATTTGTCTGTATGCGTAAAATCAACATTGCAAATCAACAGATGATTTATTTACATAGCCTGCACTTACAAACAAAAGTGGTCCTCTTTCCACCATCATAGTCCTTCAAGAGCAGTGACACTGTCTCCATGCTTCCATTATTAGGAGCTGGTTTAAGATTCAAGATATGACACATCAGAGGGTAAACGTCCACACTGCGGAACTGGTCCAGCTCAAAGTTGTTCTTGAAAGATGGTCCCATAGCCACAAAGAAAGGGTGCATTTCTGGCAGGTCATTGTCATAGCCATGGTTACCAGCTGGCAATATCAACAGAGATTAAATCTTAATTTTAAAATTTTCAATACACACTGTCAAGATACAGTTGAAATTGTCTAAGACCCATTGTCGAGGAGAAAAGTGATAGACATCTTACACAGTGTTGTTATAATTTTTTTTAAAGGATTAGGGG